AATGGTCATTTGCTCTTTTAGGAGCTAAGGATGTACTTTTAAACAAGCAAGAAACCTTCATCATGATAGCTGTAGCTCTCATCGTGCTCTTTGGCATTAGTTCGCAAGCAACACAAAGCAATCATGGAAAGACATTCATCAATTTCGCGTTTCTTATACTAGGATGTCTCATTGTTGGAGTAGTAATCGACTTGATGGCATTGAATTCTTATATCAAGTGGGTTATCTATGGTTTGTTTCTTGTTATGGTAGCTACAAATCCAAATTACCAACAAATTTACCAGGAGATGAAAGGGATTTTCAAGTCCATGTGTGGAGAAATTTCTTTGAGACTCAAAAAATTGTTCATTCAATCACAAGGGATTATCAAGATACTTTTGAAAATTAATGTTGCGGACCGAGAGGAATCATCAATGAATAACAATGCTGTGACTCAACCCGTTGGGCGTGATGGAGGCGGAGTCCGGGAGGACATTGTCTAGTTGATCTCAAGATGGAATTCGACACCCTTTATCTCTCTTTCTTTTCTTTGCATTATAAGATGTTTGTACGATATGTGAGATTGATGTCCAAGATTTTCACTCTGTATTATGTGTTTTTACGATTATGCAAAAGTGTGGTTGAATTATAATATTTCTTCATTGATACATCAAATTTGCAGCTTTGCATATTTCGCTTCATTTTCATGAAGTTTTCATTGATCACTTCTTCTTTTTCATAGTAACTTTTACATTAATGCTGTGTTTTAGGTTGCGATTTTGTTTTTGAAAGGTCAAATGTCAGGATTTGAAGCAATGCTTAATCTATAAGTGGAAAATCCACTTTGATGACCCTAAAGTCAAAGATACATTTGGAATTGAATGTGAAATGCTATATAAAAACAACCACAGATGCACATGCACACCTTATGGTGTATTTAGTCCCACCTTTTGCACGAGCAATTAGTCGGATGATCAATCAAAACCTCCCATCACGAGCCGGGAAAAGCGAAGCTAATAAGGAAATTTAATGGCAAAAGAACACTACAAGTGCCATAACTTGTGTACCGCGCTCACTTTAGTGCCATAACTTTTATTTGGATCACTTTAGTGCTAAAATTTTTGAAAAACGATCACTTAAGTGCTAAAATTTTTAAAAAAGATCACTTAAGTGCCAATTCCGGTGCCGTACACAATTTTTCGCCGGAAATCTGACGTGGCATTTTTTTTATTAATTTCTGAAGCTGACGTGGCTCGCCGGAGTCTCGCCGGAGATTGGCACTTAAGTGATCGTTTTTCAAAAATTTTAGCACTTAAGGCTCTGTTCGTTTGGCGGAAAATATTCTCCTTTTGGAAAATATTTTCCCGGAAGTCATTTTCCTGGAAAATGTTTTCCCGGAACATAATTTTCCGGTGTTCGGCGACCAATATGAAAAAGTTTCGGAAAATATTTTTCGCCGGCGGTGGCGGCGGCCGGAGACCGGGCGGCGGCCGGCGACCGGCGGCCGCGGGCCGGCGATCATGGCGGCGGCCGGGCGACCGGCGGAGGTCGGCGATCGGCGGTGGCGGCGGCCGGGCGATCGGCGGTGGCGGCGGCCGGAGACCGGGCGGCGTCGGCGACCGGCGGCCGCGGGCCGGGCGACCGGCGGCGGCCGGCGACCGGCGGAGGTCGGCGATCGGGCGGTGGCGGCGGTGGCGGCGGGCGGGCGACCGCGGCGGCGGCGGCGGCGGCGGGCGACCGGGCGGCGGCGGCGGCGGCGGGCGACCGGGCGGCGGCGGCGGGCGACCGCGGCGGCGGCGCCGGCGGCGGCCGGCGACCGGTGGCGGCGGCCGGCGACCTTAGTGAAGAAGAAGAAGAAGAAGCTCCGGAAAATGATTTCCGCTTTTGAAGAAGCGGAAGTCATTTTCCATAGACTTAGGCTATTTTGTGAAGGGGGGAAGGAAAATATTTTTCCACGGAAAACGTTTTCCGCCCCCCGAACACCGGAAAACCCCCGAAAATATTTTCCGGACGAATATTTTCCGCCAAATGAACAGAGCCTAAATGATCGTTTTTCAAAAATTTTAGCACTTAAGTGATCGTTTTTCAAAAATTTTAGCACTGAAGTGATCCAAAAAAAAGTTATGACACTTAAGTGATCATTTTTCCTCCGACTTGGCACCAAAGTGATCCGAAAAAAAGTTATGGCACCAAAGTGAGCGCCGTACACAAGTTATGGCACTTATAGTGTCCTTTTGCCGAAATTTAATGAACTCGAATGTCGCACAAAAGTGGGGTAGTTGAAACTCTCAAGTGGCTTTTTTAAAAGTTAAGGCAGATGAAATGTCCAGGCCAAAAAGAAGCTGCTATATGACAAAAAGAAGGAAATTGTCCAATGAGATCGAACGGTGCTCAACGGCAAAGAGCTGGCGTCCTCATTGACTTGACCCGCTATAGTATTTCATTATCTTACGAAGTTAATCTGATTGATTACAACACATGTTGATCTCAAGAAGTCATAGTCTTACAGGATGCACTATTTTAAATTGCTTTGTTCGTACAAGATAAAATGTCAAATGTAAATATGCAGATTTTCTCACGGCTAGCCGACCAGGACACTATGACGATTTATACTGTGGCAACGAGCGAACCCTCTCTGATAGGTCATTAATTTGTTGTGTTTTGTGCCGCTAAGATCACATTTGCAAGTTTCAACCATACCTAATGGTAATTACTTTTTCATTTAGGGTGACAAATGAAAATTGGTGTTTCAAACCCCCCCCCCAAAATTCGTACACAATGTTGACGTCCTGTCGCACCAACTCACGACGATGTCGGTTGGGAGGATGTCGGGAAAATGGATCCTGTATGGATCCAATGGGATTCCCTTTGGAAATCAAGGGGATCTCATGTCCCCATTAGACGTAGGACATTGAAAATCGAGTGCTAGGGGGTTGTAATGCGGAATCTATTAGTGGTGCGTTTCTGGACCAATTGGACAGGCAGAAGTCCAAACGGAAGGCGAAACGGTGATGCGACTAGAACTAGCGGACCCGGTCGGCGACGTCGGGTTGGGTTCAAATTTGGTCGGTTGAAGTGAAACGGCTTTTTGAACGCAATTCACCGCCGTTGGCGGTGATCGACAATGGATTTTAGTGATTCGGGATCGTTTAGATGGGTTTTTTTTCAATTATTTTAGTATTTTTCGGATTTAATTTTAAGGGGCAGTTTTGTAATTTTGATATTTGACGCTTTATAATCCTAGTAGGGTTAGGTTTAGGGTTATATAAGCTTGTTTAAAGTTTTTCTTTAAGGATAGAATATTATCATCAATATCGAATTTGGAGATTTCTCTCTCTAAGCAAAGTTTTGCTTGAATTACTCGCTGAACGCTGTGTCAGGTAGTATCAAAGCCTATGGCAATTGGCGGTGGTCTTCGTGACGATGATTAGGAGACTAGAGCCCTAATCCATGGGGATGACGCGCTACAACGTTTGGAGCAGCGTTTAATGGAATGCTTGGATCAACAATTCGATCAAAGTCTTCGTCGTTTTGAAGAATGATTTGTCGAGTTAATATATCGATTCGAAGGTCTCGGCATTGATGTGAACCGGAATCGGCGGAACGGTAGAAGGCCGAGTGCAGATCTTGCTTGCTGTGATCCTGTTGATAGGCCTGTTCCTGTCCGCAGGCAAAATAACCCTCTATTTTCAGAGAGTTTGGAAGAAGAAGAAAACGAATTTTTTGATGAGGAACGTGTTGATTATGGTGGCAGAAATCGTCATGGAGGATCTCAAAGAGGATATGATAGGAGAGATGGAAGACGGCGTTACGACGATCGTAAAGGTCACGATTTTGAATTGAAAGTCAATATCCCTTATTTTAATGGAAGTTTGGGAATAGAAGAATTTCTGGATTGGATTGTTGATATAGACAGATTTTTCGATTATATGGAGACCCCGGGTGAGAAAAGGGTGTGATTAGTGGCCTGTAGATTAAAGGGGGGAGGGGGTGCATCTGCATGGTGGGAGAGATTGCAGAATAGGAGGGAGTGAGAAGGGAAAGAGAGAGTTCGAACTTGGACTAGAATAAGGAGGACGCTAAAACAGGAGTTCCTTCCACCCGACTATGAACAGATTATGTTCCAGCAGTACCAACATTGCCAGTAGGGCAATCGGACTGTACATGAGTATACGGCCCAATTTATGAGATTGGCGGAGCGGAATAATCTATCGAAGACGGAGGGACAGCAGGTGGCCAGATATCTCGATGGTTTGAAGCCTTTTATTCGAGATAAAATTGAAGTGCAATTTCTGTGAAATTTAACTGAAACCAAGAATATGGCGATGAAGGCAGAATTGATGTAGCAAGACAGGGGAAAAAGAGGCAACGAAAATTATTAAGGTAGCAGTTCGAACAGTTCGATAGAGAAGAGCGGCTTCAACAACCGCTACAACTTAGGGCGAAGTCAAGAGGATAAGGCGTTAGAAAAGCACCTTATGAACGAGCCGAGGGATAAAGGAACGTAAGCACAAAAAACTGCGAACCCTAACCCTTATGCTAAACCAGCCGCGATAAAGTGTTACGGGTATAATTAGCCTGGGCACCGATCTAATGAATGCCCTCAGAGAAAGACCGTAAACGTGGCAGCGAGAGAAGAGAAGGAAGATGGATATTGCTGTGAGCCAGATGGTGAGGACGATGGTTTTGAAGATGAAGAGGAGGAGGAAGTAAACTGTGTGGTGCGCAGGATGATATTGGCCCCAAAACAGGAAGATGATACGCAGCGCCATCAGTTATTTCGAACCAGGTGCACCATTTTGGAAAAGATCTTTGTTGTGGTTATTGATAGTAGAAGCATGGAGAATATCATTGGGAAGGAGGCAGTGAAGAAGCTGGGAATACCCATGGAGAAGCATCATAATCCCTATACGTTAGGATAGATTAAATCTAGAGAGGAAAGCATTCATGTGACTGAACGATACAAAATTCCATTCTCCATCGGTAAGTATCATGATGAGCTATATTGTGATGTGGTAGACATGGATGTATGTCACGTGTTGTTTGAGAGGCCATGGCAATTTGATGTAGATGCTCAGCATTCGGGGAGGAGCAATCAGTATAACCTCATGAAGGATAGAGTAAAGTATACATTGCTGCCCTTGAAGAACAAATGAAAACAGGTTGCGGATAATAATTTCCTTACTCTTACAAGGAAATTTGAAGTTGAACTTAAAGAGACTCGACAGATTCACGTGCTGATCGTGAAACAAGCAATCGAGACAGGGGCTGAGATACAAGTGGAAGAGCAGCCTAAAGCAGTCAAACCTTTATTGAAGGAATTAAGCGAACTGATGTCTGAAGAGATTCCAGATAGGATACCTCGTATGCGTGATATTCAGCACCATATAGACTTAATTCCTGGTGCTAGTCTGCCAAATTTGCCGCACTACAGGATGAGTCCTAAGGAGAGTGAGGTTCTGAAAGAGAAGGTGGAGGAGTTGTTTTGAAAGGGGCACATTCAGAATAGCATGAACCCATGTGCTGTTTTGGCTTTGTTAACTCCTAAGAAAGATGAGAGTTGGAGGATGTGTGTAGACAGCAGAGCCATTAATAAAATAACCGTGGGTTATAGATTTCCAATTCCTAGATTGGATGACATGCTGGATAGGTTGCACGGGGTTAAGTGGATTACGAAGTTGGATTTGAAGAACGGGAATCATCATATTCGTATTCGGCTTGGGGATGAGTGGAAAACAGCTTTCAAGACAAAAGAGAGGCTGTACCAGTGGTTGGTGATGCCGTTCGGGCTTTCTAATGCTCCGAGCACTTTCATGAGGCTTATGAATCAGGTTCTGAAATCCTTTATTGGCAGATTTGTTGTAGTTTATTTTGATGATATCCTGATTTATAGTAAGACTGAGGAGGATCATCCGATGCATTTAAGGGAGGTGTTGACAGCCTTGCAGATTAATAAGCTGTATGTTAATCTTAAGAAGTGCAGTTTTCTAACTAATAAGTTGTTATTCTTGGGGTTTATTATTACTGCTGAAGGAATAGAGGTAGATGAGGTGAAGGTAAAAGCAATCAGAGAGTGGCCGACTCCTAAAATAGTTTCTGACGTTAGGAGTTTTCATGGGTTGGCTACTTTCTATCTGCGATTTATTAAGAATTTCAGTACTATCGCAGCCCCAATTACCGAATGTATGAAGAAAGGCAAATTTCTTTGGGGAGAGGAAGCCGAGAATAGTTTTGCTATTCTGAAGGAAAAGTTATGTATTGCACCTGTTCTTGCCTTACCTGATTTTGATAAACTGTTTGAAGTGGACTGTGATGCCAGTGGAGTGGGTATAGGAGCTGTTTTGTCTCAAGAGTGCTGACCAATTTGCTATTTCAGTGAGAAGATTTGCGACGCAAGGCAGAAATGGAGTACTTATGATAAAGAATTCTACTCTTCCGTAAGGGCTTTGAAGACCTGGGAGCATTATCTGATTGTGATAGAATTCATCATTTATTCTGACCATGAAGCTTTGAAGTATCTGAATAGTCAGAAGAGGATTAGCAAAGATATGCATGGGCGATTGTGTCAATTTTTGCAAAAATTTCCTTTTAGATTATAGCACAAGTCAGGTGTGCATAATGTCGCAGCAGATGCATTGAGTAGGAGAGCTGGCTTGTTGATTACATTAAGCCAAGACATCCTGGGGTTCGAGCAGCTGAAAGACTGTTATGTAGATGATGATAGCTTTAGAAAAATTTGGGAGTCATGTGCTGTTGGTCAACCTGTGCAAGAATTTTATGTGCATGATGGCTATTTGATGCGTGGCAATCAACTTTGCCTTCCTTGAACATCATTACGAGTGAAGGAAATTCATGATTTACATGATGGTGGATTAGCTGCACACCTGGGTCGTGATAAAACTATTTCTACAGTCCGAGAACGATTTTACTGGCCCCAGTTGCGTAGAGATGTCAGTAGGTACGTACAAAAGTGTTATATTTACCAGACTGCTAAGGGTCAATCTAAAAATACAAGTTTGTATATGCCTTTACATGTTCCTGACAATGTATGGGAAGATCTGTCCATGGATTTTGTACTTGGTTTACCACGGACATAAAGAGGCGTGGATTCTGTTTTCGTTGTGGTTGACAGATTTTCCAAGATGGCGCACTTCATTCCTTGTAGGGAGACTTCTGATGCAGTAAATGTGGCCAGATTATTCTTTAAGGAAGTGATTCGTTTGCATGGCATCCCTAAATCTATTACCTCGGATAGGGACAACAAATTTTTAGGGCATTTTTGGCGGACTTTGTGGAAGCTGTTTGATTCATCTTTGAATTTAAGTAGTACAGCTCAACCGCAGACTGATGGGCAAACAGAAGTGGCTAATAGAACTCTGGGAAACTTGATTCGAAGCATTTTTGGAGAAAAACCGAAGCAGCGGGATGTTGCTTTATCATAGGCAAAGTTTGCTTATAATAATGCAATTCATAGTTCTATTGGCAGATCGCCTTTTCTGTTGTTTATACAAAGGCGCCTCAGCACACTTTGGATTTGGTACAGTTGCCTAAGCAAACGGATAAGAGTGTAGCAGCGGATCATATGGCTAAACAGATTGTGGAAGTGCATCATGAAGTCCAACAGAAGCTGGAGGAAGCTAATAAGAAGTATAAAGCTGCAGCAGACAAACACATGCGGAAGCATGTGTTTGCGGTAGGTGATCAGGTCATGGTTTTTCTTCGTAAAGAGCGATTACCAGCTGGATCTTACAGTAAATTGCAGCAAAAGAAGTATGCAAAAGAAGTATGGGCCTCACGCTGTCAGGAAGAAAATCAATGATAATGCTTATGTTATAGATCTTTCACATAGTATGGGCATATCCAATACTTTCAATGTTGCTAATTTGTCACCGTTTCATGAGTCCACAGAGCCGTTATATCCAGATTCTGATTTTAACTCGAGGATGAGTTCTTTTCTAGTGGAGGAGAATGATGCGAAATCTATTAGTGGTGCGTTTCTGGACCGATTGGACAAGCAGAAGTCCAAACGGAAGGCGAAACGGTGATGTGACTAGAACTGGCGGACCCGGTCGGCGACGTCAGATTGGGTTCAAATTCGATCGGTTGAAGCGAAACGGCTTTCTGAACGCAACTCACTGCCGTTGGCAGTGATCGACAATGGATTTTAGTGATTCATGATCGTTTAAATGGGTTTTTTTTCAATTATTTTAGTATTTTTTGGATTTAATTTTAAGGGGCAATTTTGTAATTTTGATATTTGACGCTTTATAATCCTAGTAGGGTTAGGTTTAGGGTTATATAAGCTTGTTTAAGGTTTTTCTTTAAGGATAGAATATTATCATTAATATCGAATTTGGAGATTTCTCTCTTTAAGCAAGGTTTTGCTTGAATTACTCGTTGAACGCTGCGTCAGGTTGTCACCATCAAATGTAGAACATGGAAAATCAAGAGTGTTAAAATCAACAACACAAGACCTCTATGTATTCTATTATGCAATGAAGTGCTTGTTCCATTTCCTCTTTCACAAAATTCAAAACAAAAAGCACAGAGTTCGTTGAGCTCCAACTAGAACACGGTGGATCATACAGTGCCCCTTGAAAGGTACATAATTGTTGACATATAAATTTTGGCAACCCACTTAAGTATATATTGCATAGAAAAATTAGGGGTCGATCCTGACCCCTAGCAAAAATAATAATTAAACTACATATAGATATTAAGCCTATATAGTATGCATATTTATTGGACCGGTGACGAATGGACTCGAGCAAATGGTTCTGAGCTTAATTGAATTGATTGAACCAAGTCCATGGCTAAGAATTGCCTCACGCTTCGCACATGTTGGCCAAATTACACGTGGAGTGCTCAATTTAGAAAAATCAATTAAGCTACTACCTTACCAAAACTTTAGAAGCTTAAGCAATCACCAGGCTCGTGTGTGAGAGATAGGAAGATTATTTAGATCTTGAGCATATATTGGTGTATATACTTCGGTCAACAAAGAGGAAATATCGAAAGAAACAAAAGGAAAAGAATAAAGAAGCGATGAGTCAGTGAGCAGAGATTATAAACGGCAAAAGGATACTATAAGTGCCATAACTTGTGTACGGAGATCACTTTGGTGCCATAACTTTTTTTCGGATCACTTTGGTGCCAAGTTGGAGGAAAAACGATCACTTAAGTGTCATAAGTTTTTTTTGGATCACTTCAGTGCTAAAATTTTTGAAAAACGATCACTTAAGTACTAAAATTTTTTAAAAACGATCATTTAAGTGCTAAAATTTTTGAAAAACGATCACTTAAGTGCCAATCTCCAGCGAGCCACGTCAGCTTCAGAAATTAATAAAAAAAATGCCACGTCGGATTTCCGGCGAAAAATTGTGTACGGCACCGGAGTTGGCACTTAAGTGATCGTTTTTCAAAAATTTTAGCACTAAAGTGATCCAAAAAAAACTTATGGCACCAGAGTGAGCGCCGTACACAAGTTATGGCACTTGTAGTGTTCTTTTGCCGATTATAAACTGAGGTGTTTTACACAGAAGAAGGGGGACTTCGGCCACGAAGCTGCTGTCCAGATGCGCCACGAGCCCGACGTTCATCGTTAAGTTCCAGCAACTTCCGCGAGCGGTCCCAGCAAACTTACCAGTCCGGACGAAATCCCGCTGGTCGCTGTTGCATTACTCCATTTCTTCACCAAATTTGGACTTTGTTTGTAGATTTTACGGAGAATCCCCAAGCACCGCCGCGCACCGCGAGCTTTGGCCGAGACACCACATAGCCGAGACCAAATCACAGCTATCCTCACCACCGCCAGTCACTGAGCTCAAGCCATCCGTCGTTCAAATTCAGAAACGTCATCCGTGCATTATTTCGAATTAGGTAATATGTTATTGGATTCAGTTTCGATATATTAAGTAGTCTAATTTGAGTTTACTGTGATCTCAATTAGATGTATATCGATATTCTCACATCCAAAAATCTTTTCGAAATCTGTGAATTTGGATATTTTCCTAATTTCACAACGTGCATATGATCGCCAGTAAGATTTCGTGCTCGAAATAAGACTCGCGATTGCACGGAAAATCGTCAATCCGATCTCTCGCTCGAGATATGATTCTCGATTGCACGGAAAATTGGTCGTCAGTCCGATCTCATGCTCGAGATGTGATTCGTGACTGCACGAAAAATTGTCCAATCTGATGCTCATGCCCAGGATACGATTTGTCAATTTACTTTCCAAATCTAAACGGATATGGATGATATCTTGGGTCATTGGATGCTATCTTTGATTTTGGTTTGATCTTTATTTTGATTTGATTCTATGTTACCAAAAACAAAAATTCCAAAAAAGATTAGATAGGATCAAGGTAAATTTTAATAGATAACATTGCCTGTTTAAATAGATTTTAGATAATCTTTCATAATAAATTAAAATATAGGTTAGAATCTTTCCTCTCTAGATAGATTGCATTCTAGGTTAGAGTTTATC